CTCTTTCATCAATGTTTCTAATTCTCTATCCCTCTCCCTTCCTCTCTGTAAAAAAATCAATAAAATATATTTTAAAAAGAAGAAACATAGTAACATGCTATCATTCTGGATCTCTAAATATATACAATGAGACTACACTTTATCATTCTTAAAACGTGAAACAACAATACCAACCAAATCACTTATACAACTTGGGAAAAAAGTTCTGATGACTTTTATGCTTTCATGTGTTAATATAAGTTGCAAAAACAAAACAATTTATTCCAATTTCTCTATTGCATAAGCAATTCCTAATGGACAATGACCACATAGCAGACCCAAGATCAAGAAAGAAATTTAGAAACTTAATTAGGAGAATAATTATCTTAAATCCTTTCCATACCGATTCGATCAAAAAGTTCTCCTCCACTGCAATACTCCAGAAACAGATACTGGATGTTGCCTTCTCTCCGGTGACCATAGAATTTCACTACATTCTCATGATTTAACATTTTATTGATACAGATCTCTTTCTTAATATTGTCTGGACAGTCTATGGCACGCTTCATGTCTACTATCTTCACTGCAACTGCTTCTTCAGTTCTTCTATTCACAGCAAGCTGAACCCTAAAAAAGAAAGATTGTAACATTCCAGGCGCCTGGATTCTATTTATTTTAAAACTTCAAAAAAGATTAAACACGACCCATCCAGAATTATTGCACTTTTATAAATGTATCCACCAAGGAGAAACCATGGGGATGGTTTCTGCCATGTTCTCAAAAGATACTCCTCCTTTCTGAAATATGAGGTACAACAGACAATGCAGCAAAGACGTCATTATGCTATTGAACCAAAAGTCATTCAATAAACGCTTGAGAAAATGAACTAAACTGGGATAACCATTCTAGGCCACATTCCATATACACATGCTCTATTCATTTAATTCTAATAACATGACCTAACATTTACCAATCCCGCGGTAACTGTTCTCAGCACCGATGGGGTCAGTACCATGACTGCCATCTTACAGCTAAGGAAACAGAGGCAGCAACAGTATCAAGAAGCTCGCGGCCCCGGCCGGGTGGCTCAGTTGGCGGGAGCATCGCTCCCTACACCAAAAGGGTGCAGGGTCAGCCCCTGGTCGGGGCACAGAGGTTTCCCTCTCACATGGATCTCTCTTCCTCTCTCTCTCTCTCTTCCTCCTTCTCTAACACCAACATATACAGACGCTGCGATGAGGCTTAAGAACAAAACAATGATCGGTATGTGACAGGCTGAAGATCTGACACCAGGCGGCCTGGCTCCAGAGTCCGTTCTTTTGTTCATTGGAAACACGATGCCTAAAGCCCAAGAAGGAAGCGGTGGCAGGAGAAACGGACCTCGGCGCTGGACAAAGTCAATGTCAAAGAAAACAAAGCGCTTACAAAAGATCGCACAACTTCCGTTCCCCAGAAGTCTGGGATTTCACAGGCACAGGTCCGTTTCCTAAGGCCCCGCTGTGTTAAAATAACTCCAAAACGACGCCCAGGGGCTCAAACCAGACAGAGGGGGGCAAAGCAAGCGGGAAAGCGGGGGGCGAGGACGCGGACTCACTCTCCGTAGGCACCTTCCCCGAGGGTCTGCACCAGGTCCCAGTCTTCCACGAAGGGCACGGCCATGGCTCCAATGCGCACCGCGGCTGCAAGGGGCGGGACCCAGGAAAGAGGGGGGTGAGGTCGCTGAGCTTCGCGTCGGCCAGGAGTCCTCCATATAAATAACAGCTCTTCTTTCCCCTGACATCCCATCACCCAGATCCTACCCCCGTCTAAACCACAGGCCAGTCTCCCAAATCCTGGCGTCCGATCCTGTAAATCTCCATCCCCACGCCCAACGAATGCGCAGGGTCGGCCCCTCGGCAGCGGAGGAACTGTAGCAGTTGTGATGGAGTCGGGGGACAATGCCTCGCGGTGGGTGTAGAGAAGGGGCAAGAGGGGTCAGGGGAGGGGGAAAGATAATCACGATCACCGCGGCCCCTCCTCCCCACCCCACAGGGTCCCCCGGGGCCGGGTGGAGCCCGGGGCGGGGCCAAACTGCCCCGAGGGGCGGAAGGCAGGGCCGGGAGGCACGCAGACTAGCAGCGGGAGGTCTCTGCAGTCCCTCTGCCTCCGGCGCCCCGTGCCACCCTCCTCCTCCCTCTGGGGCCGCCGGGGGAGTCTCTCCGAACCACTCGCCGTGCTCTCCCAGCTCATGCGGACCCCGAAACCCCTCTGCAGACTCCCTGCCTACCCCACCCGCCGCCCTTCTCACCAGGCCGTCCTCTGCCCGCCACCGCAGGAATCCAAATGCAGCGCTTTTCCCGCCAAAACTGGAGCGCGTCACACTGTCGCAAACGCGCGCGCCCTGGCCGTAAAGCAGGGAGGCGCGCTTTCCGGTTCGCGAAGTTGGGCAGCTGGGCGGCTCCGGGAGGCCGGCGCGGCAGCCCCACAGGTGTCAGCTGCGCCCGGGCTATTGTGAGTCGGGAGGTGCTGGCGGCGCCGGAGACCCGGGAGACGGACGTGCGCGAGGCTGGGTTTCCACCCGTGGGCGCCACGACGCCGGCTCTGCGCCTCCGAGTATCTGCCCGGCGACCTGTCCGGTCCGGTCACTGAAGTGAGGCGCAGACCCCCAAGAACCGGGCTGGGAAGGACGAAGGCGGCGGCGGGGGCCTCAGAGCCTGGCCCCTCAGTCCCTGGAGAGGAGGCCTCGGACGAGACCTCCCGCGGTCGGAGGGAGAGGATGACCCTGTGCCCTGTGCGGCCTGAATGGACTCCTCGGCAGCACCGGCAGCACCTGGGCCCCGCGGTTTGCAGGAAGAGCCTCCGGGTCGCTTAGTCCCACCCGCCTTTTTGGGAGCGTGGGAGGCGCAGGCAGGTAGGTGGCGCAAACACGCTGTCCCGCCTCATTGTACCAAGCACATTGTCAGTGACCAGTTTAAGGAGGGAAGTAAATTCTGGGGAAATGCGCCTGCTTTAGGATAAAATAACACGGAACACTCAGGTAGGTATTCCCCCTTGGCAGTACCTGACCGGGAACTCGAGGCACAGGCAGTGTCATCTCCATTCAATTCTCCAGTTCTTAAATCGGCCACGTACATTGATCGTAGCTCGATTGTGTTACTGGTCATGGAGTAAAATAAGTATAAAATGTTACACAAAAATGCACAGGTAACCAATGTCACTCCAATACGTTTTTAAACCCGTGTTTTAATATTTTAAAAAATAGGTTCTTATCGATTAGAGAGAGAAACATCCATGAGAAACATGGGTCAGCGGCCTCCTGCACACTCCCTGCCGGGGGCCAGGGGCCCGAGCCAGCTCCCGGCATATGCCCTCCTGACAGGGCCTTGAACTGGCGGACCTCCCGGTGCATCGGTCGAACCTCAGCCGCGGAGCCCCACCAGTCGGGCCAATAAATTTCACTTTTAAAAACGCACACATCTGCTTTAAAACATCACCAGAGCGTTTCAAAATGCCTATTTGAGACGTTTTTAACCATGACTTCACGGGTTAGGTTTCCTGTAATAAAGCTTTCACATGTTTTACTACATTTTCTCTAATTTAATTTGTGCACTGTGTGCTGCAGACAAAGACTATGGAGAAAGGAAGAGGGGGACCTGCTCAGTTTCTGTGTGTGTGTGAATGGAATTAGCCTAAAAAAAAGCGGGGGGGGGATCCCCGTTTCAGGTAGAATACAGTTAAAGACAGCCCCGTGGGAGAATGACTGCACACAATAGCCTCTGTTGCCTTCTGAAACCTTACTAAAATAGTAAATCTTTAAAAGGCACAAGAGAAGAGTATGAGAAACGAGATTTTGGCAGGTGGAAAGTCTTTAGATAAAACAAAGATGAATCCTAGAGCCAACTATGGGAAAGCAGAAAAGCAACTTGCTTTACATCACAGAACTTCCAAAAGGCTCGGGTTAGTGACACCAGGTAACTGAAATGTAGGTGAAGGTGGGGCTATGGAGGGTAGGTTGAAAGACGAGGTAAGAAGCAAATAGACCCTTGGATCCTCTCACTTTGTCCCAAAGCTGATACAGGGCTTGAGAGGGTAACTACATGGTATCTGAGCTGGAGAGCATCAGGCAGTTAAAAGTTAAAGGCTTGGGTATCTTATTGAAAACAAAGGGATTAAGTGTCAGTTTATGCAAAGAAGTTTACTGGCTGCACGTCTGACATGCTTGCTCAAAAGCCTTCTTTCCCCACTTAGAAATATGGCAGCCTGCCTGTGTCCTTGGAGGATTTACAAGCCTTCTCAAGGGAAGGTTACCTATATAAAAGGATCTAAAGATGCCAATACCAGGGATTTCCAGCCAGATCACAGGAGTGAGGCCCACATTCAAAAAGCCGGACTCCTTTCCCCAAACAGACCTTCCAGTCTGTTTTAGGGTCCCACTTTTTTTTTCTTTTTAAAATGTTTTTATTGATTTCAGAGAGGAAGGGAGAGGGAGAGAAACATCGATGATGAGAGAATCACTGGCTGGCTGCCTCCACACACCCCAAACGGGGGATTGAGCCCACAACCCAGGCATGTGCCCTGACTGGGAATCAAACCGTGACCTCCTGGTTCATAGGTTCATGTTCAACCACTGAGCCACACCACTGGGCTAGGGTCCCACTCTTCAAAAGAGCAGACAACTAAGAATTTGTAAAGGCCTTTAATATGAAAGATGTCAAAACAAAACAGAAAAACACTTCTTGGACATTAGAAAATGTGATAGCAGAAAATAGGGAAACTACATAGACAGATTGCAAAAAATATTTTTTAAGGAATCTTCCAGAACAAAGCATATAGATGGAAAATAGAATAAGAATATTGGGTGATTAGTCCAGGAAGTCCAGCATCCAAATAGCTTATTTTTCAGAAAGAGAAAAAGAATTAGGGGAAATCCACAAATAACTCAAGGATATTTCTCAGAACCTCAGAACTTGACTTTCCAGACTTAAAAGTTTAAAGTACCCAGCATAATGGATGATCCACTATAAGACACATCATCGGGAAAATTCGAAACATTACATACAGAGAAGACCCTAAGAGGTCTGGGGGTGGAAGTGAGAGGGAATGGACTCATGCAAAAAAGTCAGAATCAGAACAGCATTGCATTTCTCAGCATTTAGAAGAGAAAACACAATGGGCCAATGACTTCAAAATAATTCTAAGGAAAAGTTTTCACATCCTGGAACTCTATACCTAGCCAACCTGTTGTGATGTGAGACATGCAAGATCTCAAGAAATTTATCTCCCACACACTTTCTCAGAGAGGCAGTTAGAGGTAACAAAATAAGAAAGAATTCAGATTAACATACATAACATGACAGTGAAAGGATATACCAACTAAAGAGGTGTGTAACAGACGTAAAGAATAAATCAAACCGGTACATACCAAAACAAGACATCTCTAAGACATACCCAATGAGTCTGAGCATATTAAAAGAAACTTGAAACAAATAAATGAGAGCTTGGGGAGAAATTAGTGACAAATACAAAAAAAACAATGAAAAAACTCCCTCCAAAAAAGTTATGCAGGAATAAAACAAAGTAGCAACAGTATACCACATGGCCTAGTTGTAAAAAGCCATACGGTAAAAACTACGGAGCTAACCTAAATCATAACTATAATAGAACCTTAAACTGGTCCGTGGGAATAGCAGGATGGTGAAAAAGAGCTAAATCTTCAATTTCCACACCAGAAAGTCAACAGATGATACCCCTAAGATAGAAAATCCAACATATGGCAAAATAAAGCAAGTTATTTAATGAGATGGAGGTAAATAATGTGAGAATCCGCAGAGTTAAAAGTGGTTGCCCCCAGGGAGTGGAAAACTGTTGTTGCTTTTTAGAATTGAGTTTTTTTACACTAAGTGTGAAAAAGTGTAACAATGAAAATGTTAATTTTTCAAAGACAGCTTCATGCAGCCTAGGAAGTAACAACATTAGAATCACCAAAGCAACAACTACAGTGATAAGTTAAAGGGTTATCCCATATTACTATAGAGAAAGACCATTAATAATCCCTAAATGGTATTACTCATATTGGTAAAAAGAAATTTAAAAAAATAAAACAAGCCTCAGAATAACCTCTTTCAGTAGGGAGGAATTCTGTATATAAATCAAGTAATGTATTTACGTACAGTAAATCAAATATTGCATCAAAACTAAATCTCACAGTTAAAGCACTTGGTATATAAACTGGTTTGGAAGGTTAAGTTTCCTGGGTACGTAAGTATACCTGAGCATACCCTCCAGGAGCACCATTTTGACTTATCTAAAAGCCATGTACTTGCTCCTGTTTCTTCAACAGGTAACACTAAACAGTTACCTTGTGTATTTCTTTTAATGACTTATGGTTTATATACTTCACTGTATATGTCCTGTGTTGTAAGATACATAGTGTCCTACTGTATTGAACATTTAATATTTATCCCGACATTAAATAGTATTATCCATAGGACTACTGTGCTTTGAGTTAAAATTTTTAAGTTTCTCTTCCCCTTTATTGTAGTCAGGCTAGGCCTGCTCTCTAGGTACTACTGATAGCAATTCCTCCTTCTAACTTACTAGTATAGCTCATTTGGCAAGGACTTCAAAACCAGATTGTTGAGATTATTAGTGGTATGGTACATAACAACAAATAGACAGAGACTAAGGGATAAAATAGCTCGCCCCAAATAACCACTAGAGTTTTAGTGCCTAAACTAAAGGAAATGAGCAAAGACACATCTACTATATCATGGATAAGTGAGAGTACTAAAGAGCTGGATTTCAAACAGATATGCATGATTATATTTCAGCTGATTCAAAAATACCTATTAAACATCAAATTGTATATATAATGTTGGAGGAGTTTCTTCCTCCACTGAGAATCAGAATAATAATAAACTCTTTGCCTTGAATCTTCAAAACTGCTGATTTATTCTCACTTGATTTATTCCTGCTAAAAAAAGAATGAAAAAAAGAAAAAAGAAAAAAACCACCTAGCTAGTCCCAAAGA